GTGGATCTACAAGTTGTCATTGACCTGCAGCAGGAATGAAAAAAAACAACATCACACTAAATTTTTCATGAAGCTTAATTTATCAATATAAAGAAACTGTCCTTTATTCTTATTTCCTCCCTACGTTTTGGTGTAAAAATATTCTTTCTTCTATGAAATGTGATGGTAGTACAACTTTCAAATGTTAGGCTTATTAGGCAATGCTAAGACTCAAACTTTTAAAATCTATTTTAATAGTCAGTGAATTTCCCAAAACCACCTACACTGGTCAAGTGGACTTCCTCAAGTTCATCACTGAGGTGGCACAGGGAGGTAAGGTGACTTGCCCAGAGTCACGTGGAGAATGGGTGGGCTGGAACTTGAGGCTTTGGCTCCAGCCCAGCGTCTGTCTTGCTATATAGCACGCTGTCCCTCCAGTGAATTGGATGCCAGGGCCCAGACCTCACTCGGAACAACTACGCCGCTTTGAACTCTAGTGAGTCTGGCACAAATGTCTGGACTCCTAATTCAAGGATTAAAAATGCCAAACACACTTGAGTGCGGTCTTTGGATTAAAACAAGCTTGGAGAAAGTTGGACCTAATGAGCATGGAGGACTTTGCATCGGAACTCTTTTCGTCAGTCAAGCTGCCAGAAATGCTCTCTTCCCACGCACAATAGAGAACACTGTAATGTTTTCCTCATATAGCTTACAACGTAATTGTAAGAAGTGTGGCAACATTAATGACAAACAGATGGCAAATTAAGTCTTCTTTGTCATAGGACAAATAACTTAAAAATATGGAGTTTTATTGGTAAACAATGTCAGCATTTTCTAAGCGGATTTTTATTTTTCCTAATGTAGAAAAAAATGTGCATTCAGCCTGAATGCATTAGCAATTGATTGCTCCAAATGCTGACCTTCAATACAAGACAACGTGCTGGAATTAGATCTAGAAGGGATAAAGTGAGCAATTTTATAACTTAATGCGAAATCAAGTCTCTTCTTGTCTTAATTAAACATAGGAGAGGAAAAAAACCCAACTCTTATTTATAGTAATGCCATTCTATTATAATATTCCCTTAACATTGAAGTGTGAAAGGATGCTTTTATCATTTAGCAGAGCAAGATCTGCAGCTATACTCCTCAATTATTTCATAAACATCCATCAAGCTTCCTCAAGGCCGAAAGCTACTCTGTGGTAATGACAGAAAGCGCACTTATGCTGGGCTTTCCATATATTGAGTGGGTAGAGAGTTCTAAAACATAAAATCATTAGTGGTCAAGTAACTCATTTCCTTGGTAGAACACACGATTAGTCAGTCATCGATTCAAAGGCGCATAAACAGCCCTCTCTGTGCTAGTCATTTAAAAACTCTGTCGTCTGAATTTAAAAAGCAAGTCTTAACAGTCAACAAACTGTCAAGGAATACTTAATACAATGCACCATGCCAAAAATTACACAGGAAACCAAGAAATACATGAGGCAGGATGATGCCATTTGGGTTAAAATTAGCAAGAAAGCACATATATATGTATGGCCTTATGTGGTTAAACTGAAAGCTCTACACCAAGACATTAATAACAACCAACCTTTGGTGATGGGTTCTGGGTGACTTTGGTATTTTCCTTTTTGCTTGACTCCATGTTATGAGCCATGGTAAACGACTATGTATTGCTTTAAAGGGTTTTTATGTGTTGCTTTTTGAAGAAGATATACAAGACACAGTCCCTGCTTCTGCTATTTTGGGAGTCAACAATCCTGATGGGGAGGAGTGAGGGAGACTGGACTTAAGAGGGACTGACTACAGACATCATTTGTTTCTTTTCTTACCCAGCTTATCAAAAGCCATATTTTCAAATTTACAATGCAGTAAGTTGAGCCGAGATTCCACGAACATTCCAAAATGGAATTTGTTCAACTACTAACACTCAGTGGAAATGAAGACTTCTATAGGCTTGTCAATCCTCCATTTATAATGGTTTCTGTGGCAAAATGCATTTTAATTTCCAATATATAACTTTACAGTTGAATTTTTGGAAAATTATTCAGAAATACGGGAAGCACTTAATGCTTGCCTTGGTGTACAGAAATAATAACTCAGGCTTACTGCTTACTTGCTGCATGCTTTATTTCATTTCACCCTACAACAGCCTCATGTGGGAGATTTTATTATTACTCCCATTTTACAGATATGGAAACCAAAGCACAGAGATCACAAAACTTATTAAGGTCAATAATATGCAGAGCAAAGTTTGAAGCCAGACAGTCCAGGTCCACATCCTGCCACCCAGCTCCTTCTAATCAATTACCTGCCAGTTTTCATGTGCTGTGGGTGTGGCACATAACAGTGATTAAAATGTTTTGATGGTGATAAGTCCAGATAAGGTAAACATATGTCAGTATTAAGACCAAATAAAATAAAAACTCACAACTGAACATAACTGCTTTCGTATAAGTAAATTAAAGGAAGCCCTGCACAGGTATGTGGAGCAAAAGTCAATAGATTTTTTTCTGCAAAGGGCCAGAAAGTAAATATTTGAGATTTTGCAGAGTCTGTTACAACTACTTAGCTCTACTACCGTAGTGTGAAAACAACCAGAGACAATCACTAAACAAATGAGCATGGTCGTGTTTGAACAAAACTGCTGTTAAAACAATGCTGGTGGGAAGATTTTGTCAGCCATAGGTCGCCACCCTGATCCACAAGTTATATAAGTAAATAATAATGTAATGCGTATTTCAAAATTGCTGAGCGTAGATTTTACATGTTTACACCACACACAATAAGTATGTGAAGTGATGGCTATGTTAATTAGCTTGATTTTATTATTCCAAAATGCATATACATATTAAAACATCACATTGTTGGGCAGGGTGGCTCACACCTATAGTCCTAGCAGTTCACAAGGCCTAGGCAGGTGGATTGCTTGAGCTCAGGAGTTTGAGACCAGCCTGAACAACATGATGAAACCCTATCTCTGCAAAAAATACAAAAAATTAGCCAGGCATCATGGTATGTGCCTGTAGTATAGCTACTCGGGAGCTAGACTGAGGTGGGAAGATCACCTGAGCCCAGGAAGCGGAGGTTGCAGTGAGCTGGGATCATGCCACTGCACTCCAGCCTGGGTGACAGAGGGAGACCCTGTCTTAAAAAAATAAATTAAAAATAACATTATATCCCATGACTGTATATGATTACTCTTTGTTATTTTAAAAAAAATAAATAACTTTGGAAGGCCAAGGAGGGCGGATCATGAGGTCAGGTGATCGAGACCATCCTGGCTTACATGGTGAAATCCCACCTCTAAAAAAGTAAAAATAAAATTAAATAATAAAAATAAAATAAATTTACTTGTTTATTTATTTATTTATTTATTTATTTAGAGATGGAGTCTTGCTCAGTCTCCCAGGCTGTAGTGCAGTGGCACGATCTTGGCTCACTACAACCTCTGCCTCCCAGGCTCAAGCAATTTTCCTGCTTCAGCCTCCCAAGTAACTGGGATTACAGGCATACTCCACCATACCCCACTAATTTTGCATTTTTAGTAGAGATGGGGTTTCATCATGTTGGCCAGCCTGGTCTCAAACTCCTGACCTCAAGTGACCCACCTGCCTCAGTCTCCCAAAGTGCTGTAAAAATAAAATAAATTTTTAAAATGATGCTATTATAATGTAGCCAATAAATCCAACTACATCTGTTAATCCTTGAAAGCAGAAGTTTACACAGATATTGATACAATTCCCTTACAGTAAGTAGGGAACAGCAGAGTACTGGTCAGAATGGTGCAAATGCTTTGGAATAATGCTGTTAATTATTTAATAGTATTGTTTGCTAAATACCTGTTAAGTTGAACCCCCCCTACTTACCAGCGATGGGATAGGCAGTCCCTGCAAAAGTTATTATTGCATAGGTTCCAGGGCTTTTAACAATAGTCAAACAAGCAGTCTAAGTAATCATAGTATGCCACTGATGTGAAAACTATTCCTCCCCAAGCTTTTTGGGTTAAATTTCTAAGATGCGTATTCCATCAGTGGCAAAGACTCCACTTTTTAATAGGTCATCCATGACACTTTTGGAAGACATCGTCAGCATCAAAGGTAAACTTTTTGGCACTATTACATAGATTTAACACAGAGCTTTGCATGTCCAAGACCAACTCTCACAATCGTTTCACTAGTGTATCTTTACATAGGTGCATCAAACAAAACTCTTCCATCCTATAGGAACTTAAGCAAATATCACAGCTCCCTGCTGATAACGACGTCAACACATATTTGAATCAAATTTCCATTCTGCAGTTTTTAAAGCTCTATAAAAAATGACATCTGGCAATCTAAAATTAATACATAAAGAACAACTCAAGAATGTCAGGCATTCTCAATAGTTGATCTTCACTTCTCACATTTCCTTTAGTATACATTAAAATGCAGAAAAACTGGCAAAAATTTTAAGCCTTTTAAGTCCAGACTTAAACGCCTCTGCTTTGTAATCAGGACGCATTATTGGTAAAACTCTTTGCAAACCAGGACTTCTCCTAGGAAGAGCAGAGGTTTTAGATACCACGTGCATGACTAGAGCATGTCAAAGGGACAATATTATGGATTAAAACAGATAAATACTGGTTGCATCTTTACTTTGTGAAATGCCAGGAGAATAATCTGGCACCATCTTTGCCCTTTGCACAGCCAGAACTCAGCGATATAAACATACAAAACCTCATTCTGAAATGCTGAAAATGATGTGCGCACACAGCATCCATCCAGACTTTCAGATGGCTCTTTTCTCAAGCCAGGAATAAAGCCCCAAGTTCAATTTTTATTTTTTATAATAGAGACAGGGTCTCCCCACATTGCCCAGGATAGTCTGGAACTCCTGGGCTCAAGCAATCCTCCTGCCTCAGCCTCCCAGAGTGCTGGGATTGCACAGGTGAGCCACTGCACCCAGCATAAAGCCACAATTTAACTGTGGACATCATAGTACCACTTAGAAATGTCCAAAGAAGCCCATAAAGGATACAAAAATGTAGTCGTCCATGTATCTCTTCTTTAGATTCTCCACGATGGAGTTCTCTGTGATCTTGGAGAGCAGCACCATGTCGTCCACACCACTGTGCTTGACATTGTGGCTTTGCCAGTGGTACCGGTAGGCGCCTTTGCTTCCCTGAGAACATAAAACACACAATTAGTAGGATAGTTTATTTTCCCCTGTAGTAACAATGAGAAAATGCTGCTAATTTCCCAAATACAATGTCGTAGATTGAGCCGTGCAGAGACAGCTTCTGCAACTAGTAAGATGAGGATTCAGGTTCCAGCTCTGCTACCTACAGACTAAGTAAAGTGGGGGAAAGTCTCCGAAGCTCACTGTGTCACTGAAGCGTCTCTTTTCTCACTTGCAAAATGGGAGACAGACCCACTTCATAAAGTTGTTGTAAGGATTAAATAAAATAACATGTGTGAAGTGTTCAACAGTGTCAGGAATAGAGAACACAGGGTCAGTGGTCTCTGATGTCTGCTTCCATCATACTGTTTCGTTGAATTTGCCTGTGAAAATAAGCAATGACATAGAAACTTCCTAGTCTCATTTTGCAAAAATCATAGGACATAACCCAGAAGTGAAAAGAATATGTATCACACAATGACTGCGTCACACGGTCGTAATTTCTCCAGTTATCTAAATTACTTTCCCTTCATAAACTTATCACTATCATACGTGCCATACCGGCCTTCTATATTCAAAAGATAGGCTACATTTTTATGAGTGATTACTGATCTACCAAAGAGGACGTAGACAGGACTCACAAAACGACATCACGGAACACACCCTGGAGAGGAAGACCTCACCCCCATGTGGGCCCCTTGGGTAGATGAAGCTGCGGCCCTTATCTATGTATGGGATCCAGCTTAACATCAGCGGTGGCTTCCCAACGCTCTGTAGCCTGCAGGGCTTCCTTTCATTTGGCATTTCCATAGTGGGGTCCCCCACGTGTTGAGCTCTGTGCCAAGTTCTTGTGGCACACTTGGGGAGCTTAAAGTCCCATGAAGACATCTAGATAATGACGGAACAAAGTGATTCATGAGCGCTTGGGGAGTTCAGCACTTGGGAGCTCAAAGTCCTTTGAAGGACACCTAAATAATGATGGAACAAAGTGATTCATGAGTCAGTAACGGTCAACATAAACACACATAAAATGGGTGTTCCAGGAGTGAAGGGTGGGCCACTTTGTCCTGGGAGAGGCAGAAGAAATGACCTCCCAGAAAAGGAGCCATGTGAAGTAAGTCTAAGATATTTAGAATTTGCCAAAGGAGACCAGAGGAGGAAGGACATACATTATCATCTACATTTATCAAGCAAAAAAGCTAGTAAGTACAGAGTAATGGCAAATATTACATGACAATATTGGAAGATCCTCCCTTGCCTTTAAACACTTGCATTCTACTGGGAGTGTCACCACTGGGTAAGTGCAGCGGACACTGAACTGAGTGAGACTCGCCCCTGCCCCCGCCCTGCTCACTGCTTGGGGGAGTTTGAATGAAGGAGAGAAAAATTCTGAATAAGAGTATCTACAAAGGCCAACTGCTCAGACATCAAAACTAGGATGAAAAAAGGATGAACTAGGCTTTTTTTTTTTTTTGAGGCGGAGCTGCACTCACGTTACCCAGGCTGGAGTGCAATGGCGCGATCTCGGCTCACTGCAACCTCCGCCTCCTGGGTTCAGGCAATTCTCCTGCCTCAGCCTCCTGAGTAGCTGGGATTACAGGCACGCACCACCATGCCCAGCTAATTTTTTGTATTTTTAGTAGAGACGGGGTTTCACCATGTTGACCAAGATGGTCTCGATCTCTTGACCTCGTGATCCACCCGCCTCGGCCTCCCAAAGTGCTGGGATTACAGGCTTGAGCCACCGCACCCGGCCTGAACTAGGCTTTTTGAGAGGAGAAGATAGAAAGAAGATGCAAGTCATTTCAAATTTTATTTTAAAAATTCATTACATTGCTTACTTTTTTTTCCTATGGGAAACACAGATTCTCTGCTAAGCACAAGTTCTAAGAGGCCCTGTGAAAAGCCGTCTTTTAAAATCAGCCAAGACGGGGCTATCATAGGAAAAGTGTACCATGTGATGGGTTCCCACTCTGGAAAGGGGTTCTGGAAGGCTTCCCGCCCATGCTGTCTTGCAGAGGAAACCTCTCTATATCTGGCATTCTCAGAACCACATGCAGCATCAATTCTACAAAATTACCTCAGACCTCACCACTCCTTCTTCCTCTTGTGGCAAAGCAGAACGAGAAAAAAGCGTTGGCCACAGCATGACTCACTAGATTTCCATTGAATGCCCATGGTCTGCTTCCAGCCACACAATTCCCAGTGATTCCTCCTCTCCTCAACTCCCCACCGTTTTCAGCTTTCTGGGCACCCACAGATACTCTGCACAGAAAACTAAAGTTCTAGAGTAACCAACCTGCAGGTTGGTTGGTTGGTTTTTAACTCTCATAGATACCTAAAAATGTACCCACAGTTGAACAAAACACAAAGGCACTTCTTCAACTTCTGTAAGGGACAAGAAACAGAAATGCTCCGTGTCATGGTGTGTGTATTTCTACTGATCCACAAAAACTGCCTTCCCAGCATAACCCCAAGTCTGTCTCAATATCAAACCCTAAGGTCTTTTCTCTGCCTCACTGCACAGAAACACATTTCTGATTGCCCCACCTCAGAGGCCATTTCCTCCTCTTTCTCATGGTAGTTATTCCCTAGAAGAACTACACTCAGGGTGGAGAGTTCACTGATCCTCATGGTTCCAAATATCACTCGACACTGAAGACTCCTAGCCCCAGTCTCCAGTATTCAAAGAGGACTCATTTTCCAGTCTGCTATCTACAACAAGGCAACAGTGGTGACAATATGCAAAGCAATGAGTTATTTGATTTGTGGAGGGTGTTCTACCTACTACTGCCACCAATCCTAGGAGAGAGGGGTTAACATTCCCATGCCACATACGAGGAAACAGATCTCCAACTAGCAAGTAGCAAAGGCAAGATGCGAACCAAAGATTCCATGACTATGGATGCATCCAAACATGTTTTCTTCACAGTCTCATGAATGAATGACTTACTGGATATTTCTACCTAAGTTTAACATGACCACAGAATGACAGACTGTCTCCAAAACAAAATGTCTCATTAAAAAGACCTATAGCCGGGCACGGTGGCTCACGCCTGTAATCCTAACACTTTGGGAGGCCGAGGTGGGTGGATCACCTGAGGTCAGGAGTTCAAGACCAGCCTGGCCATCATGGTGAAACCCCACCTTT